AAGCAATAGCGCCGATATACTGGTCGAAGTTGTCAGCGTCGCACTCAGTCGTCGGTAGAGGAAGGCGCGATAGGCAGTCGGCGTCTGCGTGCCGGTTACCGCTCTTGTAGCGTACTGTGAAGTCGAACTCCTGTAAGCGCAAAGCCCATCGTGCCAGTCGTCCAGATGGGTCTCGGAGGCCTACCAACCAGCATAGAGAATGATAGTCGGTGATTACCGAGAAGCGACGGCCATAGATGTATGGGCGAAACTTGTGCACGACGAAAACGACTGCGAGGCACTCCTGTTCTGTGACTGTGTAATTTCGTTCTGCCTTGCTCAACGAACGACTCGCGTAAGCGACCACGTGTTCAGCATTGTCATGGCGCTGAACGAGCGCTGCACCAAGGCCGATTCCGCTGGAATCTGTGTGAATTTCCTTTTCAGCAGAAGGATCGAAATGGCGTAGTACTGGTCCTAAAGTCAGTGTGAACCGAAGCTGCTTAAAGGCTGCTTCGCGATCCGGTGTCCAGTGGAAAGGGACATCCTTTTGCAGCAAGTCAGTCAGTGGTTGTGCTTTATCAGCGAAATTCAGAACAAATCGACGAAAGTAAGAACACAGGCCCAGGAAGCTACCCAACTCCCTGGGGGACTGCGGCTGCTTGAAGTTGCTGACAGCGGCGACTTTCTGCGGGTCCGGTCTCACGCCATTTTTATCCACCAGGTGTCCCAGAACCAAGGTTTCACGTTCTCCAAAGCGACATTTTTTTTTAGTTCAGTGTAAGCGCAGCTTCCTCGAGACAGGTTAGAACGAGGTCAAGGCGATGACTATGTTCTTCAAATGTTCGGCCAAAAATCACCACATCGTCCAGGTAACACAGGCAAATTTCCCATTTGAGGCCCCGTAAAACGGTGTCCGTATATCTTCAAATGTGGCGGGGGCATTACACAAGCCGAATGGCATAACATTAAACTCAAACAGACCGTCGGGTGTAACAAAGGCCGTCTTTTCTTTGTCAGCCGGATCCATGGGGATCTGCCAATGCCCGTATCGCAAGTCCACCGATGAAAAATAGGATGCTGAATGCAGACAGTCGATGACATCATTGATGCGAGGAAGCGGGTACACGTCCTTCTTAGTTATAGAGTTGAGGTGTCGGTAGTCAACGCGGAACCTCCAGGACCCATCTTTTTTCTTGACCAAGATAACAGGCGTGGCCCAGGGACTTGACGATTCTTGAATTACGCCAGAGGTTAGTATCTCGCTGACTTGCTCTGAAACTACCTTGCGCTCTGACGCGGAAACTCGATAAGGTTTCTGTCTGAGGGGGTGCGCAGATCCGGTGTCGATCTTGTGACGAGTGCGTGTGCTGGGCGTCTGAAGTCTATGCGACTTCCGTGAAAAATCAAATGCTTTAGCGTGCCTGGCCAGCAGTGTAACCAACACTCTGCGCCTATGCGAGGGAATAGACTTGCTAACCATCTTATAAAATTCGTATTCCGTGCCGGATACATCAGCATAGTCCAAATTTGCCGCATTGCTGAGAGCTCCTATGCAGATACTGCACTGCCCTTCAAACATGGCAAGGCGCATTCCCTCTGGTAGTACAACAGACTCGGATGAGCAGTTAACTACCCATAATTTAGTTTTTCCCTCGGTGAGAGACACAACGCAGCGCAGCAGAAAGATGTTTTTCTTCATGCAAGGCAAAGGCAACGGCTCAATCACAATATCAGGAGAACTGAAACTCGAGTCGGCATTCGAATCAGCAACGGGCACGCTGGCAGTCGACCATGCCGGTAGAATAGCGTCTTTAACTACAACGAGGTTGTCGTCTCCGCTACGCTGAGGCTGCTGGGCGGGGGCGGACAACAGAACCTCGCCTGCCCCACAGTCGACAGTCGCACGGCACTCTTGCAAAAAGTCAATTCCAAGGATAACGCCATGCGTGGAATGAGTGAGCACTGCAAATTCTGCCTTGAACGCTTTACCAGCAACACAAACAGACACAGTGCACACACCTACTGTACACAAAGCCGTACCGCTGACTGCTCAAAAGGTAGAAGATTTATTCCAATAAAACATAAGCTTGCGGCAAAGTCTCTCCTTGAAAGCTAAACTCATTACAGAAACTGTTGCACCGGTGTCTACCACAGCCATCGTGGGAACATCGTCAATGAATACATGAACCTTGTTGTGAAGCATGTGAACTAATGGAGGCATACTTGTGTGCAAAGCGGTACGTCCAGCGACCTCGCCTCCATCGGCCGTGCCGGCTAGTTTCCCGGTGGCGGAGAGGAAAGCCGCGGCCGGGGACGGGGAGATGGGGACCGTCGCTGGCGCGTAGTAGGTGGCGTCAAGCTCCTCACAGAGGCAGGCGAGTCACTGCGGATGTTCGGCCGGTGCCCGTGCTTCTGAGCAGTTGAATCCGAAGGCCAGTAGGCGTAATCGTGCTGTTGGCTTCGCCATGCAAGCATCGCTGGTCGGTCAGAAAACGCCGTGCGTGGGCGACGTCGCGATGGGCAAAACAGGGCGATATGTCCGCGAACACCGGACTGGTAGCACACGGGGCGTTCCAGAGGCACATTGGAGGCTGCGGTGTGGAGAGGGTGCTCAGGGAACTGTTGCTACTCGGACACAAACGGAGGCGGTTGGCTGTCGTAGCTATAACTACTGCGGGGCGCATAAGACGACTCGACGTAAGTAGCCGTTGGTGGCGGAGCCCTCAGCCGTGGACTGCGGGTGGAGTACTGCGCTCGTCGAAACTCGCAGCATTGATGCTTGGGGATAGTGTATCACACTGCGGGTCTCCATCTTGCATGGGAACAGAGACATGGCGGACGCAGTTCCTCCCGTACAATCTGACGAATGGCGGAGGAAAGGTCGGCAGCTAGAGAATTTTGGCAGACATCGACGGTGGCAAAGTCGTGACGTTGGCCAGACCTCAGAACTTCGATGTGATGCGACGAGTTTTAGGAGCCTCGAAGGTTCGGCAGAGGTTAATCTCGTCGGCCACGCATTCCAGGCTCTCCTTGCCAATGAGGAAGTGGTAGACGTCATCGGCGATGCCCTTGAGTATATGGCCCACTTTGTCTTCTTCCGTCATGTGGGCATCCACCGACTTGCACAACTTCAGAATCTCTTCAGTGTAGGTTCTGCATGTCTCACCGGTGACTTGAGCCCTCTGCGACAACGTCTGCTCAGCACGTTTTTTCTTCGTTGCTGGGTCTTCAAAGCATTTCTTAATTTCCTCCACAAACTGGTCCCAGGTTGTCAATGTGTCTTCATGGTTCTCAAACCATACCAGCGCCGTGAAATCGAGGAAGAGCCCCACGTGAGACAGCTGGCTAGCCGCATTCCAACCGTCGATCGGCTCACCCGCTGATAGTGGCTTAGCCATTCGTCCACGTCATCGCCGGGTTTCCCTGTGAAGGTTCGCGGCTCCCTGTAGTGGTAGGGCGACGTCCTTGCGGCTGGCTGCTGGTTGTCTCCATCCGAGCTCATTTCTTGAGGTAAAGGGGCCAAGCCCGTTAGTCGACGGCTGCGGCGAAGCTCCTGTAGCGATTCCGTCGTTAGGAGACGGTGCCTCTCCGGTATCACCTGGTAGTAGCTAGCTTACCCAGCCCCTCCACCGCAATTGTGACGATGGAACGCGTTTATTTACAAGATGGGTAATCCAGAGGTGTAGCTCAGCGAAGGATCACCAGCGTCGCTCGCGAGCCAGTCGAGTCTCTTCCTCCTCTTCGTCGAATCTTCGCTAGCACGTTTCAATATGTCATACGTGTGTTTTTTTCGTAAGAATATTAAGGAAGCATACAGAACTATTGCAATGGCATACGAAATCTTTCAGTAGGCACACTAGAGGTGAAGATATTAGCACAGTGAAAAGTAATATGAAAGGGAAAGAAGACAACCACCTGCTTTGTAGCACGAGGACACAAAAAAATCCACAGATATTCTTTGAAAGAAAAGCCTCTTGATTCTCGAAAAATGAGTTCTGTGTGTTTTCGCAGAACTGCACTGCAGGAAAAAGGAATGTTTATACCCTTGGGGTGCACTGTTTATACGTAGAAAGCCTGTGACCATTCAGCATGTTTTGTTTCGTTTTGTTTTTTATGCTGGGAAGGCATGTTGTTTAGCGATATATTGCAAACAACGCTGAAGGCCTTTCCCTGGACAAACGGGGAATTCGTTTTTCACCTGTGCAGAAATGACGAAGGTGTTTCTTTTGACGTAGTCATGCTAATGGGTTTGCATCGCATGTGGTAGGCCAGCTGGGCCACGCGACATGTAGACATAGATGCAAGATCGGCACATGAGTACTTCGGCGAATTAGTGGACAGGTTCTTGGAAGCACATAAGCCATTGGATACGGTACTTCATTGAGTACTGAGGATCGAGCCGCTCATTAACAAGAAACGACTTTAGCCACCACAAGTCAGTCAGTTTGGCTGATCCTTTTATCCGTGCCCAATTCATGTACCTAGTACCGCGTACTCTTTCGTTAGATGCCTGACTGTATCTGTGTTCCGATGTATAGGTCTAAGAAGGCAATGAAAAGGGAACTAAAGGGCACTAGACGGAAGTAGTTCGGTGAAAGCGAAACTTGCGTTGGCTTCACTAGTCATACACAAGCAAAAAAATTTCATCGAAATAAATTCAGTCAAGTAAATTTTTTTTTCATTGGTACTCTCAAATTTTGATTAAATTTACTATGCCATACCGTTTGTGCTCGATATTTTTACTGCACAAATCATGTCCTGTATTTAGCTCAACCCCTCTATCACAAAAGCGCTGCCATGGTTTATACTGACGTTCTAGAAGTTCTCAAGCATTGGACTTTCACTGTTACAAAATGTTATTCTCCTGTAGGGCCCCTTTTTCACAGTGCCTTTAAAGGGTACTGATTATTCCCCCTTCGCCACTCTTCAGTGGAGAAGGCTGTAGACGTCTGTACGTCTTCTTCACCGCCTCTAACTGAACAGCTTAGACTTAACCCAAGGCAAAAGTGCAAACTTACGCAGGCCAACACGACGATTGAACAGAAGGTGAAGACGACAGCGTTGACGATCACCAGCGGCACCCTGTGCAGTGGGTTGACGTCGATGATGATTGTTGAGTCGTCCCACTTTTGCCGACGCCCCATCGTCTCCCTTCTTGCCGTGCTCGTCTCTTCCTCGCTTGGCTGCCGGTATCGATCCTCTTGCGTCGTTCACGAGAACGGAGAACGTTCCGACGCTTAGCACAGACAGCCGTGAAGAGCCGAGTAATATAGGTCGCTGGCGTCGTGATGCGCTCGTCAAAAATTGCGACCACCAACGATACCGCACGCGATTCTTCTTCCTCTGTCCTAAACGATACCTCATACCCACTACTCGGCCGATCTCCTGTTTTGGGTGCAAGCCATGGCCAGAGTATAACAACCACAACGACTACCCCATACAAATGAGCAGCTAGTAGGAACAATATTATAATAAATTATGGGGGTTTGTATGCCAAAACCACCATATAATTCTGAAGGACCCGTGGTGGAGGAATCAGGAAATTTAGACCATCTGGGGTTATTTAACGCGCACTTAAATATAAGTAAGCTAACACGGGCCTGAAGCATTTTCGCCTGAATTGGAATTGCGACCACTGCAGCCGGGATTCGATCCTGCGACCTGCGAGTGAGCAGTTGGCCACCGTAACCAATAAACCACCGTGGCGGGTTCAAGTATTTGGCGGATTTTTCGATTCGGGTCTCCAGAATTACGACTGGAATGTCTAATGTAAACAAAACATAATTTGTCTTACCAATTGAATTGTCAGTCATTAAATAATAAAAAGCCGGCACACTGTAGCAAGGCACTCTTTCATTCTGTGTAATAAACTAGTCAATGACAAAGTAAACGTACCTTTCGCTCTATCCCAGAGTGTAGACCCAAGACAGAAAAGTAACTGGTTGTGTTAACTTCACAGCGTTCTATCCATAGCCCTCACACTTTGGGCTACGCCCACTTTTTTACTACTATGCCTTCAATCGGTTCAATCCCGATTTTCCACAGTCGTGTTCTGTATGCGTGCACGAAACCTGCTGCTCTGGATGTGCTCATTTGACAAAGGCTACACGACGTGGTCAGCTCAGAGGTGTGACTGCGCAGTCCAGATCTCACGCGTATACATTCCAGCTGGTTCAGAGGGCTAGAGAGGCTGTCGTCGCTGTTCAGAGGCTGTCGTCACAAGAGTCACCATCAGCCGGTGCCGACATGGGTGTATACAACTGACCTGATTGGGCAGGTCTTTTGACTAGTTCTAGTCTTGTCCCTCACGGCTAAAAAAATTACAGTGTATCCACGGAGTGAATGATGATGAGTGCAGAAGAGCTGAAGGGTTTCATCGCGAAACCCTGAATCATCCGCTGAATGTCACGTATTATATCGCTTTATGGTCGCTGAAATGTTGGATCGGTGATGGAGCGTAGTGGGATGTTTGCAAGGACGAAGTAGTGGGTATAGTTGAAAATTGGCCCCGTATCTGCATTATATATATTTTTCCTTCTGTTGACAATGTTTTGTATCATGTAGTTCATTTTCGATTACGCTTTGTACCATTGACAATCATGCACCTATTGAATTGTGTTTTTGCCTCCCCCTTATGTAATACTCCGCAACGGGCCTTTAAGGGTTCAATAACTGATGATGATGACGATAATCTGCAAATGTCGACGAAAGACGATAGTCTTGCGTGTGGAGAGAGTGAACAAAACATTGATTTGATGCTCTGTTCATGAAAATCGGTTAGTTAGAGTACCTGGAGCGTGAGGTGGAGGCGAACAAGTGCATAAAGTCGCGTCACACGTGAGACTTGAACGCCATCTGGCCGTTTTTTCAAAAACAGAGCGCGTGGCTCTGAGATGGGTGTGCGTGCCCGCCTCAGAGGTGATAAGGTGTAGAATGCAAGGAGATGGGCAGGTGCCACCACCGTCTCGTTTTAGTAAAGCATTGGAAAAACTCGTCTTTCCGTGCAAGCGTTGGATGGTCAGCGCAGCGTCATAAGCGCTACGGCCCTTAAAACTACTTATGTATGTGTTTTCTAGTAACAGATGCATAAGCAGACTATATGCGCGTTGTTATGGTGCCCCAGACATGCGCAATAAATGCTTTTTCATTGACAATTGCACAAGTATGAACTCTGAATCTTGAGCAACATAGGTGGGCGCTGCGGATGGGGTTGCCCATTTCAAATACTCGATGCTGTTAAGAATGAACAAAAGCAAATGTACAGACAAACAGGCAGGCAGCCAGTCAGGCAGGCAGGCAAAAAGGCAGACAGAAAAAGAGACAGACAGACAGACAGACAGACCAAAATTTTTGCTTCGAAGGTCCCCAAGAAAGACTATAGTCTTTAAAAAGGTGAAACTATAAGCGGTCCCATACAAACAAGAAATGAACAGACCCAGCAACAGGAACAAACACTTTAAACATTCGTTAAGAGGGCAGAGGTCTCACGCATTGGTAAGGTTAACAGCGAGTGGTGTGATACAGTAGACTCAAAACTGCTTATCACAAACAAAGAGAAGACTACAACTTGTTTTCGATACGTACATTTATTCAAGTTTTGAACCCTAAAACAATATGGTATCGAGACACAAAAACTAAACTATGGTATTCATGAAACAAAACAGCTTATTCTCCGCGGAGAACTTCAGCCCGAGTCCCAACCGTCCACGTTTTCTCCTCCTTGACTCGAAACTTTTAACGGCCGCCGCATAGCACTGTGGGCGCGTCCAAGTCCCGCTGTGATGCATCTCTATTCTCACACTTTTATGGAGGTAGCTCCCGATACCGACTGGAAATGACCATCATCAGGCGGAAGCGCAAAGCTCCTGAGGCAAAGCAGCTGCGCTTTTAAACGCTAAGCAAGCGACATTCTTGTACTTGCTTGTCATCGTCGTCCCGTGTCCAACGCTTCTACGACGCCAACTACGAGTGTCCCACTCTCGTTGCCAGTTTTCGGACGATGACGGCGACGACAACGACACTTGCATCTTAGGCCACAAAGGAGAGCCGACGTGATCCACGCGTCGATCTACGTCCGTGTCACGCCCATGGTATTGTCGAAGGTTGATTTTGGGCTTGGGAGCTAGACTCCTGTGCAGCGTGGCCTCCGCAATCGGCGATCCTCGGTGCCGCACCAGCAGTCTCTGAGCCTTGAGGCATGTAGGGCTGGTAATGGGCGCGTCGGTAGCCACGACATGACGTCTGAGGTGAATGGTTGACGCTCCAGAAATTCATGGAGCCATACCAGGTAACGCTGTCGTAGTCGTGACTCGAACCGCCCCGTAAGGTGTTGAACGGCCGTTCTGTGCACGAAGAACGCTCCTCGTCGGCTCCGCTGGTTACGGAGGGGCGCTGAGTCGAAGCCGGAAAAAACATGGCGCAGATGATGTCTTCCGACTGCTCGCCCTGGGACTCGTCTTTCAAAGCTTCACCACCGGATCCTGAAGACGGACTTTTGTCAAATGTTCGCCGACTTCGATGGGGCACTGAACGAAACGCGGTTGCGTTGCTTCATGAAACCATGTTCTGCTCGTGGCACGTGCCCAGGCGCGCATAAGCGTCACGATGATGATGATGATGATGACAATGATGATTCCACAACCATGCCTCGTACCCACTTAGGGGGATCGGCCAAGAATTGATGACTTCTTTCAGTAAGATTCAGCGTCACGAGTGCCTCGGTGTTCTTCTTTTTCTCCCGCACCGTGCCTGAGCCAACGGTAATCCGGGGAAGGAGAAAAAGAAGAACACCGAGGCACTCGTGACGCTGAATCTTACTGAAATAAGTCATCAATTCTTGGCCGATCCCCCTAAGTGGGTACGAGTCATGGCTGTGGAATCATCATTGTCATCATCATCATCATCGTGACGCTTATGCACGTCTGGGCACGTGCCACGAGCAGAACATAGTTTCATGAAGCAACGCAACCGCGTTTCGTTCAGTGCCCCATCGAAGTCGGCGAACATTTGACAAAAGTCCGCCTTCAGGATCCGGTGGTGAAGCTTTGAAAGACGAGTCCCAGGGTGAGCAGTCGGAAGACATCATCTGCGCCATGTTTTTTCCGGCTTCGACTCAGCGCCCCTCCGTAACCAGCGGAGCCGACGAGGAGCGTTCTTCGTGCACAGAACGGCCGTTCGACACCTTACGGGGCGGTTTGAGTCACGACTACGACAGCGTTACCTGTTATGGCTCCATGAATTTCTGGAGCGTCAACCATTCACCTCAGACGTCATGTCGTGGCTACCGACGCGCCCATTACCAGCCCTACATGCCTCAAGGCTCAGAGACTGCTGGTGCGGCACCGAGGATCGCCAATTGCGGAGGCAACGCTGCACAGGAGTCTAGCTCCCAAGCCCGAAATCAACCTTCGACAATACCATGGGCGTGACACGGTCGTAGATCGACGCGTGGATCCCGTCGGCTCTCCTTTGTGGCCTAAGATGCAAGTGTCGTTGTCGTCGCCGTCATCGCCCGAAAACTGGCAACGAGAGTGGGACACTCGTAGTGTGCGTCGTAGAAGCGTTGGACACGGGACGACGATGACAAGCAAGTACAAGAATGTCGCTTGCTTAGCGTTTAAAAGCGCAGCTGCTTTGCCTCAGGAGCTTTGCGCTTCCGCCTGATGATGGTCATTTCCGGTCGGTATCGGGAGCTACCTTCATAAAAGTGTGAGAATAGAGATGCATCACAGCGGGACATGGACGCGCCCACAGTGCTATGCGGCGGCCGTTAAAAGTTTCGAGTCAAGGAGGAGAAAACGTGGACGTTGGGACTCGGCTGCAGTTCTCCGCGGAGAATAAGCTGTTTTGTTTCATGAATACCATAGTAGTTTTTTTGTGTCTCGATACCATATTTTTTAGGGTTCAAAACTTGAATAAATGACGTACGAAACGCAAGTTGTAGTCTTCTCTTTGTTTGTGATAAGCAGTTTTGAGTCTACTGTATCACCCACTCGCTGTTAACCTTACCAATGCGTGAGACCTCTGCCCTCTTAACGAATGTTTAAGTGTTTGTTCCTGTTGCTGGGTCTGTTCATTGTTGTTTTTATGGGACCGCTAATAGTTTCACCTTTTTAAAGACTATAGTCTTTCTTGGGGACCTTCG